GCACGTTGAGACTCAAGGTTTCTACAGTTTTCAGAAACGATAGTAATGCACTATGAGCTCATACCATTTTTTTTATCATGAAAAGAGAATAACTGGAGATCATAAAATTGTTATGTTCTCTCAGGCGCGGAGAAATGCTTCCGGATTGTTCTGCGAGATTTTACGAGGAACGAGTTGAAAAAATCTTCTTTTTTCGGTTAGGAATGGAGAAAATACTCAGAGGAAGACCCTTACGGGGCCCGTTTTTTGATTAATTACTCTGTTTTCTAAAAAATATGCGAAAAAAAAATTTGTGTGAATGAAATAAATTAAGTCCAAATTCCCTGGAGATAAAAAATGAAAATGGATTGGTAGCACTAAAATTTCGTTCATATGATTTTTAATTTGAAGAATTTTGGAAAAACTGAAAATTGTTTTTTGTAATAGAAGAAACAGCAAAAGAAGGACTTTTTTCTGGTGTTTCTTCTATTACAAAACAAAATTCCAGTTTTTTTGAAATTTCTCAAATTTAAATTTTGAGTGTTTCTTGTCCTCTTTTTCGACTATTCGAGAATAGCTTTCCCGTCGAGGGTTCTTATTATATTGAAATATCGAGGTATGAATTCTGACTGCACGTGCATTCAAACCAATAGGGGACAGAGATTGTGCATGATATTTCGTTACTACAAAAGAGTGAAGAAGGTCTCGAGGCACGTGGTTGGAATACCTCATGTCCTACCCGGAATGTCGAGTGTGCGTGATCGACAACGAGAAAGTACACACACTCAGTGTGACCCAGACCAGAAGGGAACTGAATGCACAAAAAAATAAACAATGATTCTCTTGTCAGGACGAGTGGGGAGGGAATTGTAACCCCTGTACACCGAGAGAAAAAATTAGGGTGCAAATCTCTGGTTGAGTGGATTTCAACCCGTAACAAGAAAATCTCCTTACACACCTCCTTCCTTAAAAAAGGTTTTGACCAGAAAAGTATACGTTTCAAGTCAAACTCTCTAGGAGTAACTACTCTTCACCAGGGATAGGCAACAATATTAGATTTTGGCAATATTAAAAAGGATTACCTCATTACATTGTTAAAAGTTTAACTATATTTACCCTATTTAAAATATTATAGAATTTATTAGTTAAAGTTTTCGATTGATGGTGAATAAAATATTTGATAGTACTAAAATGTAATTTTTGGTTACCAAGCTAATTCTAACTTACGTACTTTATTTTCGATTATCCAATTAATCATCAATCTTCCTACCTAAATTATTGGTTGACTAGGGGGCTTCGCCCCCTGCTCGCTCCGCTCGCCCACCCGGGGGGTGGGGTTCGCCCCCCTCGCTCGCTTCGCTCGCTACCCGTCCGTCCGTGTGACCGCAGCAGTGTGACCGTACCCATAAACATCTTCCATATGTCCACTCTATAGCGGTGTCTTTGGTATTACGATCCGTCATCTCACAAAATAAGGCAATGTAAGATACTAGACTATAAATATCTGACAGTGTAAATAATCCAATAGATGGGTTGGGTCACTTTAACACAATGAAAAAAAAGAACAATTATTACTACGAAAATTATCATGTTTTGGTGGAAACTTTCTTTTTCGTCCACAAGTAAATTGATTCAACACGACAAAAGATCTCTTCAAGGGAACATATAATTTTTCGGCAGAACGAATCTTTTCTCTGAATGTACTAAGGAACGTGCGAAATGCAGCGGTAATGATGCTTAAAGTAGCTCTACCCTTTTGGGGTTATATTTCAATTCAAAGATTTTTAAAAACTACAACAAATCGCCTAAAAACTCGGTGTGATTCGGAATCGTAACTGTTTTCCTCATTTAATTGTCGTTCAAGTTTTTCTCAAAGGAAATGTTGAAAATCCATTATTTAACACAGGGTCTTATGTGAAAAACGCGGAATTTACCACAACTCCGGTTAAAACAAAGATTAAAATCTAATTTTTTTTCCTAAAAACGAGAAAAAAATCATGAAAAATATTGGCACCTGTTGGATAACGATTTATGGTTTAGTTTTTTTTATTATTAATAATACTGGCATCAGGAATAGACATGACAACAGTGACCATGTGATGGCGCCCGCTCCGCTCGTCTCCAACTTCCCATATGATCGTACGGCGTTGCCACAGTTATTTGCAAGCTAGTCAATTGAAAAACTGCTTATGTGCACTTTATTTTTAAAAAATTGATATAAGATAATACTTATNGATTGATGGTGAATAAAATATTTGATAGTACTAAAATGTAATTTTTGGTTACCAAGCTAATTCTAACTTACGTACTTTATTTTCGATTATCCAATTAATCATCAATCTTCCTACCTAAATTATTGGTTGACTAGGGGGCTTCGCCCCCTGCTCGCTCCGCTCGCCCACCCGGGGGGTGGGGTTCGCCCCCCTCGCTCGCTTCGCTCGCTACCCGTCCGTCCGTGTGACCGCAGCAGTGTGACCGTACCCATAAACATCTTCCATATGTCCACTCTATAGCGGTGTCTTTGGTATTACGATCCGTCATCTCACAAAATAAGGCAATGTAAGATACTAGACTATAAATATCTGACAGTGTAAATAATCCAATAGATGGGTTGGGTCACTTTAACACAATGAAAAAAAAGAACAATTATTACTACGAAAATTATCATGTTTTGGTGGAAACTTTCTTTTTCGTCCACAAGTAAATTGATTCAACACGACAAAAGATCTCTTCAAGGGAACATATAATTTTTCGGCAGAACGAATCTTTTCTCTGAATGTACTAAGGAACGTGCGAAATGCAGCGGTAATGATGCTTAAAGTAGCTCTACCCTTTTGGGGTTATATTTCAATTCAAAGATTTTTAAAAACTACAACAAATCGCCTAAAAACTCGGTGTGATTCGGAATCGTAACTGTTTTCCTCATTTAATTGTCGTTCAAGTTTTTCTCAAAGGAAATGTTGAAAATCCATTATTTAACACAGGGTCTTATGTGAAAAACGCGGAATTTACCACAACTCCGGTTAAAACAAAGATTAAAATCTAATTTTTTTTCCTAAAAACGAGAAAAAAATCATGAAAAATATTGGCACCTGTTGGATAACGATTTATGGTTTAGTTTTTTTTATTATTAATAATACTGGCATCAGGAATAGACATGACAACAGTGACCATGTGATGGCGCCCGCTCCGCTCGTCTCCAACTTCCCATATGATCGTACGGCGTTGCCACAGTTATTTGCAAGCTAGTCAATTGAAAAACTGCTTATGTGCACTTTATTTTTAAAAAATTGATATAAGATAATACTTATGCTCATGACCTCTATGATTTATTTTAATAATTTAGAGCTAGAAATACTGATTTTTAGAATGTATTTTTTGTGAAATAGACTCAATGACTCCAGCCGTAGGGGTAGAGCTACTTTAATTGACGCCGATAGACGTAACAAATCAATTCTCCACTCCCTCCGCATTATCAACTGAAAAGTAACATCTTATTTCAGAACGTCTCTTTGAAGAGATAAAAATAAAATTGTCAAATCTCAAAATCAAGGAGGTCAACTACTCGGTCTTGATGTATATCCGTCACATGAGATTTCTTTTCCGTGACCTAGGTCTTTTGTATGAAGACAATTAGGCCAGCCGAATGAAACCACTCTCTACGGTGAGATTTCGCTAGTTTCGCTCTTTTCAAAAAATTAATGAACACCACTAGCACTTTCGATTCTAATGAAACACAATCTCATGCGCATTAAAATTTCATAGAAAAACCTAATTCATTCGATAGATAATTCTACTGGATTTCTATTAAATTTCTGTTGAAAATTCTATTAGGTTCGACCGATTCTATTTGAGAATCCCTAGTTTTGGTACACGTTTTTTTAATAGAATATTTCCGACATAAATTAGTTTATACTAGAAAGTTATAAGTTATAAAGAAAGACTATAGAAAGTATTTTTTAACCAGACAGGAAAAATCTATTCTGTTGATTTTTTCAACAAAATATTTTGCATTTAAAATGAATGCCTTAATGGTAGTTCTCATTACGCAAGAATGAAGGGAAAAATTTCCATAAACTTCATAAAAAAACATGCCTAAAACTATAGAATGGTCTTTGGGCCAACAGTACTTTAGTCTCTCTCAATCGCATAAAAATTGAACTATCGTTCAAGTTTTACCGGTTTCCACCACCCGCATGTGTCATGACCCAACACTAACGAAAATCTATCCCATTCACTTTCCCAATCCCCGAGCATCAAAATAAACGATCATAAATAATGTCTCAATCCTCCGGTACAAAATTCGCTTCACCCGTCCGTGACAAAATCTGTGACAAAGATAAAACCTTTTATAATATTCAATTCCGCTTCGCGTACTTGTGATCGTTCGAAATAAGGAAAACTATTAACGTTTAAATACGAAAGAAGTAAGATTTTCTAAAATCTACTCAGACAATATAGGTTCATCAACTCCAAAAAATGTTGCTATTTTTTTAATGTAAAGCCTGTTTGTACTCAAATGATAAATATCGTTATCTATGAATAACCAAATTTTTATGAAAAAAAAAATTAGTAGTATGACATCCACAACTTCAAGTTCCCAGTTCCCTTTTTTATCACAATTTTCCACATACGAAGAGAAATTTTCTAGAAAAATTCTAATACGAGTACTGGAAAAAATCACAATCCACCGGCTGTGAAAAATTCTAGTGCTGTTAAGGTAAAATTTCTTGGTATTTCTGGTAAAATTTCTGGGGATTTCTGTGAACCTTTCACAGAAATACGGGGAAAAATTCACGTTTTTCCCAATAAAATTTCCAGTGCCACCACTGAAATTTTTTCCTGGCCATCACTTTGGGCCTCTTTTTCCGTGCTAGCACTAAAATTTTTCTAAAACATTTCTCTCCGTGCATAATATTCATCTGGCTAAAGGGCCTCAGGCGATTGTCGCGTTGACAAATTTAATCATTCATTTATTTATTTAAAAAAAAATGTTTTTAAATTGCAATGTTTTGTTTCAGAAATGCGTAGCGAAGTGGGCGAATGGCTGGCAACGTGTGTCGGTTCACCAATCTGCATTTTACTGTTGTCGTGGTCATTGTTGATATACCAGAACCAGCCATCGTCCTTGAAAAGAAGAATCGACGTGCTGACTGTTGCAATCATCATCGAGAGTTTAGCTCATCAGATTGGTTTATTACTATATGCCATACTCACGCTTATAAGACCTGCCAATCACTTTGGAGGTAAATATGGCATTCATCCTACTGCATTGCAATTATATTCACTTCATTCATTCATTAGGCGGCCTCGAGAGTAAAAAAAAACAGCGGGAAAAGTTGCACCATGAATTCTCAGCCAAAAAGGGATGAGAAAACATGAAGGATGGATAATTTCAAGAAATTATCTGACATCTTGCTTGCGTACACTCCCGCTGCCGCAAGGGGCTTCAAAGATGGCGGCGCCTCCACCTCGAATTTTCGAATATTTTTAAAAATTATTTGTCCTCTTCAGATCACCCTCAACTCGCTTCATCTGATTTTTACGGAGTGAACAAATTTTCAAAACAATCATTCAGATTTTTCCGTCCCCTTTTGGCTGAGAATTCATGGTTTAACCCTCTGACTTGCAATCTTATCTTCAATAGGGGATGAGTAGGGAGCGCAAGAACAGTGCGGCATGAGTCCTAAATATAAAATTTTTTTAAAGGAATTTATTAGTAGACAGGATAAAACAAAATGAAGGAAGAAAAACAATTCGAAAAGACGAATAAAGTCGTGAAATAATGTCGCGCATGAAGAATAGAGGAAAGGAGGTCGAACTGTGTACGGAGGATATGGAGCCTAAACCGAAAATTTCAAATAAATCGTAAACGTCGCAGCAGTTGCGAACGACCAGACACAGACGCAGTGGAGAGGGAACTTTAGGATGGTATTAGTGATTTGCTTGGATCAAGTGGAAACGAGAGTAGATGTATTTTATTATTTTTAATTGAGCATTTGAAGGAATTTTGGCGCTTTCGTGAAGGAAGAACACCTCTGTATCATTATTACAAACTTGTTTCATTTCTTTGAAGAATAATGATAGGAAGCGGAATAAAACAAGAGCATAACCAGAGTATCGACGGATGGATCGAATTTGACGGTAGAATAAAGAAATACGTCCCCATTGAAATTCGACCTCCTCCCCTTTATTCTTCATGATTCTTCATGACCTCGCGTATGATTCTGGTAGCGACGTAGGGTCCCCAGATTATTGACGAAGTAAGTAGATAGTAGCGCTCGAATTTAAATCTTCAAATTATCATTTTCTGTTCAAAATAAGATGTAAATAAATTCATAGAATAATGCACGTTTCAACATGTTTGTGACGGTGAAAAGTAAACTCAGTTTAAAACGTAAACGGGAAACTACGGTAACCGTCAGAGGATTAAAGTTTTTCCCGCATTTCAATAGTTTTTTCTACTCCCGAGATGGGCGCCAACATTAATAAATTAATGAAATTTCCTTTCTATTATTTGTAGAAATATGCTCCAGCCTCGTTTGGCTGTTGAACACATCTCGCATTCTTCAGGAGCTCACATTAACATCAATAGCCATTTTTGCCGCAATCAGTAAAGACGAATTAACTGTGACAAAGAATCACATTAAGTACCACTTGGTATGTCTCACGGTAATAAGTGCCTGCATAGGCTTCACCGGAATACTAAACTTCGAGCCTGAAACATGTGTATTTCTCGCTCAAGACGTATCCCCCAAGTACGGCCTCTTCGTCAATTCCCTGAGGGCATTGCTGCTATTAGGGACCATTTGCGGTCTTTGTGGGGCAATTTTCAAGGATACCTGCCGCAGCCCAAAGTCCGAGTTACTGCAGTCAGTTTCAGATCTGTCCGAGGCTAGCTCCAAGAATTCCTCGGGTGCTTTCGAATGCCATCCTCACCATTGGGATCCGTCAAGTGGCTCGTGCACCAGTGGATCAACGAACTCTAGGGCTTGTCTGAGAAAGAGGAGACCTCAGGTTGATGAGACAGGAAGCAGATCGACGGTTTATAGCATAATTTTTGTGTGCTACATTTTCGATCATCTGCCTGTATTGGTGAGTGTTCTCTTCTTTTTTTTCACCATTTTGTTTTGGAATTTTTTAATATTGTTGATTTTCTTTACAAGACATCCGTGGCTTCGGGAATTTTTTAACGAAAATGGGTGATCATGACGGTCAAACGGATTTAAGGCTCATACGGGAGGATCAAGAATAGGGTCTAAAAGTACCCACAGGGAAAAATTTATATTTTGAAAAATATATAAAAAAATATCTTAAATTGGCCCAATTTATATAAAAAAATATAAAATATATGATTTATATATATTTTTTATACCTTCTTTATAAATTTGAAAAATATATGTAATTGGCCCATATTAGATATTTTTTTATATATTTTTTGATGGGCGTAAGGGTCGCAAGGGTCAAAATGAGGGTTAGAATAAGGATCATGAGGGTCAGATTACGGATCGCACGGGTCAGAGTAGGTGTCTAAATAAGGACCATGTGGGTCAGAATAAGGGTCCAAATGAGGGTCATGGGGGCCATATTGGTATGCGGAGCGAGGAGGGGGCTTAGCCCCCTAGTGAAATAATAGTATTCAAACACCTATTAAGCCATTAATCATCGCTATTAACAGATATTTTAAAGGTCAAAATCCAAGGGTCAGAATAAGGGTCCAAATACGAGTCATGGGGGCCATATGGGGGTTGGCGAGCGGAGCGAGCAGGGGGCGTAGCCCCCTAGCGAAATAATAGTATTCAAACACCTATTGAGCCATCAATCATCGCTATTACCACACATGAAAGGTCAAAATCCAAGGGTCAGAATAAGGATCCAAATACGGGTCATGGGGGCCATATGGGGGTTGGCGAGCGGAGTGAGCAGGGGGCGTAGCCCCCTAGTGAAATAATAGTATTCAAACACCTATTGAGCCATCAATCATCGCTATTAACAGACATGAAAGGGCAAAATTCAAGGGTCAGAATAAGGATCCAAATACGGGTCATGGAGGCCATATGGGGGTTGGCGAGCGGAGCGAACAGGGGCGTAGCCCCCTAGTGAAATAAGAGTATGCAAACACCTATTAAACCATCAATCATCGCTATTAACAGATATTTTAAAGATCAAAATCCAAGGGTCAGAATAAGGGTCCAAATAAGGGTCATGGAGGCCATATGGGGTTTGGTGAGCGGAGTGAGCAGGGGGCGTAGCCCCCTAGCGAAATAATAGTATGCAAACACCTATTGAGCCATCAATCATCGCTATTAATTAATTAGTAGTAAAAATTTCATTGAACAAGTAGTCATCTTATACATAATACTAGAAATACTTCGTGACTGACCTGTCGTGAACCCAGAACCACTTGTCCCGGTAGGCGGACACTGCCGCAACAACAGCCATTGTCATTTCGGATGAATCCGTTATCATACATCACTTGAAATAGTTCCTCCAGCAGTTCCTATTCTTCCCTCGTTCAATGAAGAATTTCATAAGCTGTGCATTCATAGGCAAATCAGAAAACCAGTGTTTCTTCTTGGGATTGTCTCTTCGATCATCGGAATTTCTAGTTAGGTACATCGTCCTAACCTTTTGTGATGATCTTTATCAGCATGTTGCATCATAATAGTTCTACGCGATGATTGGAATGACGATTGGAGTCATCGCCACGGGTATTGAATCCCATTAATTCGTTGGAGCAAGCAATTCTTGAACTGATGTTTTGTCACTCTGATTTTTGACTAGCGGTGAAATTGAAAGGTTCACCTATTCCATTTTCCAATTTATCATTATTTCCGCTGTTTCTAATTCAATTAAGATTCGACGGATATATTTATTTGATAAATGCTCTTCCTTTCAATTTCACTGCCCTCATTCTGAACTGTTGAAATATCCGATAATTTCTCTTCATTTCCTCTTGTGTTATGAATCTAATCGGACGCGGAATTTCTCTAGTTGTCAGCTCTTAATGAATGAATTATTCTTCTGAAAACGAATAAATTCATCCTACTTCTTCGAGCCTCATCGCTGTATTTTGCGAATACATTTGAATAAGTTGGTCATCCATGGAGATTTACGATGAATAACGATCGAGGGAGAGTGTTGCTCAGTGAAAAGTCAGACCCACTTTATTTTTGTCCTCATTCGAAAATATATTTTCCTGCGGAAACACGTGCGAAATTGTTCTTATGTTGCATATAGTATAGTTTTTTTGCTGATAAATTAGAGATATGCTTCCGAATGATTATTTTGCACATCATTTCCTTCTATTATGTATAGTTCATTGTTTATTTCATTTTATTAAATTGAATCAGCATTCTTGTCAGATAATTTTGTGAGTTTTCAGCTTAGTTGAATGTCATCATCATCATTATTCTTATTATTCCTTCCTTCTATACAATCGATTGTCTTTTTTATAGTTCTATCTCTTCCCTCAGTCCAATCAAATCAGTAGTGAATGTGGTTTAAGTCAATTCCATTTTAGCGCCAGTTCTCGATGAATATCTCAAATTCTAAGGGAGTTAGCAAAATTTTCCTAAAAATCAGTTTTGTAAAGAAAAGTGAAGACTATCGATAAAGATTTTATAAAAATTTCGCTATTTTCCTTAAATTCCGAGTTATTCAACAAAAACTCAACTGGGAGCTAAGTCAACTTAACCCGATTGACCACTTCACTACTGAAATGTTAATAGTAAAATGTTATTTATGCATAGTTGAATGAATTTGAAACATCACATTTGAAGAAACTATCAGAAAGCTCACTTTCAGGGAAATTCATGAAAAATTCAAAATTTTCAACAATCATTATAAAAATCAAATCAACCTATATAGCTACCGTAATCATCTTTTAACTTCGACTTAATGGCATTAAAACAAACATTTTAAGCTATGATCTGAATTCAACGATATCCCGAGAATTCTAATTTTCAAAAAATACAAAATTTTTGCAAATTTTCAAATAAATCAAAATAACGATTATTGCTATCGCCTTCATCTTCGAACTCGGTCAAAAAGACTTCCAAACAATTTTTTTAAGCCATCATTCAATCAATTCGGAACATTTTTTTTAGTTATCGTGGGACAACCGATTTTTGAAAAAAAGCGAAAACTAAAAAAACTCATCGATGAATTAAATTTTAATTAATGACGATTGATAGAGCTCAACAATATCTACATTAAAAAAAAGCGATTTAATTCCATCCGTTCATTAGCGAACAATTGAGGAAAAATTTTGTTACATACGTACACTCATACACACACGTACGGACGAGGTCTCATCATTGCATTTTCGGACCTTTTGGATCACACTCGGTCGATATCCTCCACTTAAAAAAAATTCAGTGTAACGATTTTTGAAGCCTCTATTCCGCTTATCAAGTAATGCAATATGATGTCTATGTATATTCTTTTATGTACTCTATTTTTTTGTCTGCACTAATTGTCAAAAGAGGGAGATTAATTTCTTACTGTAATAAAAGAATATCCAGTTCTGCAAAAAATATATATATACAATAGTATATATGTATATATTATATGCATATATTTTTTATACTTTAATTTTTTTAACTGCAAAAAAAATTGATATAGGATAGTATATATGTATATAGTATATGATACATCCTTAAAAATGAAAAAGTACGAAAAAAGCAAAAGCGAAACGAAGAAGATGGAGAGGATTATGACGATTTCGAATAAATTATTCGACTATTAAATTCTCTTTGTGGAAAACTTTGTGGAAATCATTGATTTTTCATGCATTAATATTGAGATAAAAATTGAGAAAAGTGAGAAAAGGTAAGGATTTACTATTCTGGCACCCATGGAAAAGAATACGCGTGTTCTAGTAACACAAAAAATTTAAGACTTAAATTTGAACGATTACACAGCTTGCATTCGGAAGCAAAAAAATATATAAATCATGCGTCCAATGGGAAAATGGCACAGACCACTGGAGAATGGTGATGAAGTAAAATTTTAACTCGCATGTTTTGCACAGTCTGTGGAGCATGGGAGTATGGCTTTGAGGTGTGTCGATTCGGTTTAGTGATGGTTACGAGATCAGGTCAACAGTTTCACTCGCACGATTTCGAACGGCCGTTGGACGTGCGTAGAATGCACATTCAGGTGAATTAATCGATTTGTATTGCTGGGGAAGTCAGCGTGCGTTCAACTCCTAGATTGTGCCTGTTATTTTTCAGATTGTATCTCGAAATTGATTGGTGATAATGATTATCTGATCTTAAAATTTTAAATTCAGACGAGATTTTTTTTTCAATTTTTTAATTGTCTCCTTTTTTGATTGATTCAGGAGGAAAAATGGTTTTAGTCCTGCGAAAAAATCATTTGCTCGTAAATTTGAAGTTTCTCAACTAATAATTTAAGTGCTGTTACATAATGCTCCTGGAAAATACAACAGAGCTCAGGCCCAATTCATTAGCGAAATAGAAAGGATTATTCCGGAGGCATGAAAGCACGTTTTTCCGATTTTAAGAACGGAAAAATACGGAGAAAAATGGAAACCTGATATTTTATATTAGATAACTCCTTCGGGGCTCCCCTATTCAATGAAATTTTTACCGCCGATCAATTATTGTCGGTAATTCATTCATGTAGAAAAAAAAGATCATCATCGCAGTATACGCTAACCGGGTCGAAGCGATGTAAAATAACGATAAAAAAAATGTAGAAAAAAACATTCTTTCCTCGTCGATGTATTTTTTTCTATGATATAAACCTATGGAGTTCTCTCACATCAAATCATTGTCGTGCAATAGATTTTTTTTTTCCTGCCAACAGTTGGAATTCTTCTAGGAATATTTCTGATGACGAGAAAAAATTGATTTTTGTGAAAGATATTAAATTTCCTTCTATCAGGCCCGGTTTGTTCATGTACCTTTTGCTCTGAAGGCCCGTTTAACAAACGGTTCGTTTGCCCAATCATCCGTTTCGCCAGAGTGCTCCATGTGTTATTTCAATGGACCATTAGCTAAAACTCCGTTTGCAAAACGGATCTTTAGGGGAAAAGGAACATGAACAACCCGGCCCTCAGTTGGTTAATTTACTTCAAGTAAATCCGTTCCACTCCATCCAATGTACTCACGTGGAACATATAGTCTTTCGGCAGAGCTATTTTTTTCTTTCAGTGTACTATTATTTCATACAGTCCTCTTTCCCTCGTTTTCGAAAGGGGCAAAAGAGGGATTCGCTTTTGAATTTAATTTAATGTTGAACCTTACACGGAAAGAAATGTTCAGTAATAATTACGGAACTCTCACTTCACTCACCGATTACGGAATCGACTCAGAAAATTTAAGTAACGGTATCGTAATTTTTCACAAGAGATCCGGAAAAATTCTGTGACAGTTCCGTAAATTTTCCTACCACCACATTTCGCTCCGGAATTACGGAAAAGATACGTAATTTTTATTGAATATTTCTCTCCGTGTAACCCTCGATCACTCACGCTCGGCAGCCAGCCTTCACCCGCCGCATGATTAGCGCAGTGCGGCTGAGTTAAACCGAGCGCGCTGTTGTCACGTTGGCGCTTAGCGTGATGCGCGCATTTCAAATGTGGCAGTGAATGTAGCAACACTGTGGCTCGAGCGGTTGACAGGGACTCACCCGCACCAGGCGGCGCGGCGCCGCTTTTCTGTTCGTGCGACGTTTCTTTTTGTTTTTTAGCTAAACAAATTTCCCAAAGAAAAAACAGGCAACGCCAACGCTCAATAAATGGATTGAACCAAGAACTCAAATTTTTTCGGAATTTTTAAGCATCGAGAAACACGCTAAAATATAAAAAAAATGAAATCAGACGATGCCGCGATCATTGAGCGAGTGACCGAGGGTTAATAATTTAATTTGTCACAAGACCGTTAGACCCATATATATGACCGCTCTTCTTTCGTTGAAAAATATCCAGCGCCATGGGGATCTTATAAGAAGAACTCATACTCTTATGGCGTGATTTCGTACATAATTGCTTAATCACAATGCGTGAGTCCCAGCGGCATTGACAGGCATTCAGTACTCAGTAATGAATATGAATTATCTTCAAGTAAAACGTGCGCATATGTGTTGATAAGTCCACCAGTGAAACTTTCGCTTCAGCTCCCTGAAGCGCAAACATCGAATTATATTTCAATACAACAAACAGGGGATAATATTGCAGGGGGGAGGGGCATAAAAATAGCTTGACGTTGGTAATTATGGGCTGACAGAGTAATAGTTATGATCAATCGAAATTGATTTCAGTGAATTTTTTTTAATGATACACTTTCGGATTTCATTATGATTTCCGCACGAAATGGTGTATTTCTTAGTGCAGTCTGTCGGAAAAATGTTTCTGATCTAAAAACATTCATTATTTTTTTCTCATGATTATTACGGAATTAGAATGCAAAATGTTGGTGAAATGTTGAACGGAATTGCTAATATCGCATATAAATTTATCAATCTTTTAATTCCGCAAAAATATATTTTTTTAAATTTTCGTACAATTGTCACTGAATATTTTCAATAAAAATGGAAATACCAGTAATAATTATCTCTTGTATTTCACGTGAGGAAGTCACACCCAAAGGTTCATCCAACCCGGTATCCGGTGTGCAGTCACTCGTTCGAAAATCCTCGATGCTTAACACCCAACGTTTGACAGTTTTTTTCATTTTTCATTTTTTGTCAAATGAAACTAGCAACTCTTATTATCTCCACATCTGAAATTTTTATTTCACTCATAATTGTCAAGGGGGAAGTCCATTATCTTGATTGGGGTCAAGCTTTAACTAGCTATTGCGATTATTATTATCAAATTGATGAGATTCTTAATGATTTTTTATTACAGTTGATTTTTTTGTGTCATGTTTAATATAATAATAATGAGAAAATTCGTATAAAATTCTTCATTTTTTTGAATTTTTTATTTGAAAGAATTTTTATTTTCAATTTTTTGACAAATTAATCATTTAATTAAAAATCACTAATTTAAGAACTTCTAATAAAACTCAGTACACGAAATAACGTCTTACATCGTTGAAAACTTTCGATTTTACGTTTGTGCCTGAGGTGAAAACGAGCATGAACGGTCGCGCTTTCGGGACTTCCATTCCTTCTCCACAAACCCAGGTTCTATGTATGAAATTTGAGAAAAAAACAAAACCACGTCTGTGTATCTGTGAATTAATTAATTCACCACAGACACACCATCCCCGCTCGATACTAACGGTAATTACGATAGACCGCGTGGGTAATTATCATCATAATTATTTTTCACAATACAGAGTGAATTTCAAACGGATCGAGTGAAATGTTTGTTATATATTTCGATTTTGCTCAGCGCAACGGTTCAGGTGATTCTTCATGACGATCTTTCGTGTTTATAGTGTTAAAATTATGAGGCTTGTGGAGGGAAATTTTCATTGAGGTGAAAACCATCCTTTTATGATTAATGGAATTTTTTTCGAGTGAAAATAATTTTTTCATCAATAGCGAGAGAGATAAGACACATACGCCTCTTTGACAGTCAACCCGTGCTCACCAGTAGGAAATTCAACTCGTAATGAATTGTCTAATTAAATTTAATTCCTCATGCCGATTTAAACAGTCCGCATTTCCTTCCTAATTTATATAATCGAAAATTCCTCTCCCCCTCCCCGCGAGAAAAAAAAATGCTGTGCATTTCGAAAATGACTCATTAAACCTCGGCAGTTTTGCCTCGACTAAACATCTCTGCATAATGGTTTTTATGCACAGAAACATCGAGCGCGAATATTTCTGGCGAAAGCGGAGAAGAAACTACTTGTCATAATTATATCTTTGCGGTCATGTTCACTTTGAAATTATAATTCACCTCGGCACGAAAAATTTCTCATAAAAATTTCATATTTCGTTGGATTTATTATTTCTATTATTTATTTTTTTACAGATTGTATCACTCAGACCGGAACTACTGAGGGACTACTGCACGGTTCAAAATTTGGCAATATGGCTGCCGCTGGTGAAGGACACGATGCTTCCGGTGTTTTTGGCCATGTTCGATAAAATGTTCTGCCGATATGTGGCTAAGGTTTATACGAAGCAAGATCGATCGCGGAAGCTGGCACACTGTGAGTACTATAGGCCTTCCGGTAGAATCTTTTCCTTCGTTTTCTGGAGTGGGAGACACGGATTCAAGTGGAAATCACGTAGAGAGGGGGTTCCCCCGAAGGAAAAACTTACACTGAAAGACCTATAACCTAATCTTGCATGAAAATTCTTGCGTTATGAACATGAAGAATAGAGGGAAAGAGGCCGAACTGATACGGGGGCCACCACTGAAAATGGGGAGGGCAAATAGATCCGATCAATTAGCCCCTCATGTATAGATATTCCAAATTTTTATTTTTTTCCTCATTGAAGTAGTTTTGAAGAAAATTGCGAGCTAATAAAAAACATTTGCTAGTTAGTACTTTTTTTAAATTAAATTTTGAAAAATCACCCCTGAAAAAAAAGGCGTTATTCCCCCTATTTCATTATTTCCAAAAAATTTTATCACCAATCGGTAGCAAATTGTTTGAAGATTTTTGCGAGTTAAGAAAAAATCGTTAATGCACTCCTATTATTGTATAAATTAACAATTCCAATTTCAACTAAAAACCAGAATTGATGACCAGAGTTTGTAGCAGAGTTTGTGTAGAAGTCTTTAAAGATGACAAATCTCTCTAAAGATGATGTCTGTTTTCAATTGAAAAGCGCAATTGTGACAACATTGTCCAGTGGGGTCTAGGAGTCTCCCCTGGTTCAAAACCATCTTTAGAGGCCCTTAGCACGCCATTTCTCGACCCGCTCTTTCATATGAGCCCAAAAAAACATTCATATCTTGT